TAGGACTCTAATCAGTCACCAGAAATAAATGAGACGCATTGGCTCTGAGTCTGCCGTCTACGTGCATAGTAACAAGTACAGTTGGGTGGTACCCAGGCCTGCCTCTCTCCAACTGTCACCACCCTGCGGGCGCGTGCAGCCAGACCCATATCCGTGGTTAATATTTAATTTCACAACCCCAAACACAAGCTGCTGAGCAGAGCAGTGCTGGGCTCCGTCAGTCCTGGATGACGCCTGTGCAGGCGGGGCTGAGCCCCGGGCCCTGTGTGTTCCACTGCCCTCCTGTGACCACCTTTTCTCCCTTGGGTGGTCATGAACGTCTCCACCGTTCACAGGTGCTGCTTCCGTGAATCAAGGACCCTGAGTGGGCAACTGGCTGCCCTCTTTATATATAAGCGTGAATAGGTGAAATGCACTGTATTTGCTCTCCTGCCCATGTATTCAGATCTCGGGCAGGGAGACAATGGAACACCTATGTGTTCAGCTCCAGAGGGGTTGCTCCCTGCATTAGAGCTGGTTGTGCAGAGCAAATAAGATGACAGGCATAGGTAGATCCATTTTCAAAACTGAAAAGTGCTCTCTGAATGATGGCGGTGGTAGTTTTCCTTTGCTTGAGCCTCTCGTCCCACCACCTGACCCAGGAGGGAGCTAGACGTGGTGCTTACCTGGGAAGCCTGTCCTTCTCTTAGAACACTTGAGTTTGGCCCCGGGCAGCATGTGGGAGGAAGGCCGTCTGGAGTAGAGGGCAGGTGTCTGTGTCCCCCAGAAGCAGCTAGACCAGGAGGCCCAGCAGGCTGCATGGTGAACACCGGGCCTTTGAGACAGGTTGGCTGTTGTGGGTCTCCCGCCCCATTGAGCAGTGGCTGGCATGGGCTCTCTCTGGTCTCCGTGCACTTTTGGAGCCAGGCCCCCAGCAAGCGGCCTCTGCAGCTTCGTGTGCCTCCCAGGATGCCCGCGGGGGCTCCCCAGGCTGGTCCCTGCAGTTTTCCAGTGCAAGAGTCAGGGGCGTGTAGAGTTGTGCTGGGGCAGGATAAATGCCCCATGAGCTTAGAAAGCAGAGTTCCAGAAAGGAAAGTTGAGGTGACTCGGTTCTGCCTTGCAGGCCACCGGTAAGGAGAAGTGTCCTGGGGAGCCCTCTGGCCTGTGCAGGGGGGGCCCAGAATTTAGATATCTCCTGGGCCTGGCACCCTGGGGAGCCTCGAGCCTGGATCACCTTGTCATCGCTCACCCCGTCTAGAAGCTTCTGTTTGGAGTGGCTGCTAACAGGACGTGCATAGGTGCTCAGTCATGTCTGACTCTGTGCGACCCCATGGACTGTAGCCCACCAGGCTCCTCTGTCCATGGGATTTCCCAGGCAAGAATGCTGGAGTGGGTTCACATTTCCTTCTCCAGGGGATCTTCCTGACCCAGGGATCGAACTCGTGTCTCCTGCATTGGCAGGCAGATTCTTTACCACTGCGCCACCTGGGAAGCCTGTCGACTATTAAGGACAACTAGCCACATTCTTTACAGTTCATGGTGTCCTCTTCTGTGTGTTCTGTCTTCCTGGCTAGGGAAGCTGGGTCTCTGCCCCACAAGGGGATCTGCCTGTTATCTGGTTGAGCTGTTAGGGCAGGTAGCAGGCAGAAGGGTGACCACAGCCTGGGAGCACCCACAGGACACTCCAGCCCCAGAGACACTCAGGAAGAGGAGGACAGGCAGTCAGCAGGCATCTATGGGTTCTCCAGTGAGGTCATCATGTACTTGACCTGAGACTCTGTGTCCCTGGCACATGCAGGGCCAGGGCCTCGAGTCAGAGCGTGGCCCTCTGGCTCCTCCTGAGAGAACAGATGTGTTGGGGCTGAGACATTAACTTGCTCTTTTTGGAGACACCCCTCAGTCGGGCTGCTTTTTCCTCCTGAAGTCCTGAGACAGCCCCCAGCCCTGCCACCATGCCTCGCGCTTTTCTCTGGATGCCTTGCTTGCTTCCTCCTGGGCCCCCCCTGCCGGACGTCCAGGGGGGCCGCCCAGACCCCCAGAGCCCGGGGCCTGACAGCTGGTTTCACAGTCACGCGTGTGCTTCACTTCTCAGCCCACCGCAGGTCCTCCTTCAACTTCGAGTGCCTGCGCCGGCAGAGCAGCCAGGAGGAGGTCCCGCCGTCCCCCGCCTTCCCGCCCCGCACGGCCCTGCCACTGCACCTGATGCAGCAACAGGTGAGCCGCCCCCTGCCCCGGGCAGCTCCAGGGAAGGGACCCCCAGTGTCTGGAGCACATAAACACTAGCTGCCGCTTCAGTTTCTGTTCAGGTCTTTCTGCCAACCTTGTCCCTTTTTTACATAAATTGCTGTGTCCTGCTCTGTCCTGGATGGAGAACAAACTTTGGGAAGGCCCCAGGCATCACATGCCACACACCAAGTAGGCATGGGGGGTCCCCGCGGGCTTGTGTGTGCCTCCCTTGGATGGTCCTGGCTTCTGACTTGGCCACAGGCCTGTGCCTTTCACAAACCTGGCCTCACTGCCCGCTGTGCCCCTCGCAGAGAAGGATGCAGGCAGGCCTGTTGTGGCACTGCTGTAGGTGGAAGAAGCAGGCTTGTACCCGGTGGTGCTTCTGAGCAGAGTGCCAGCTACAGACGAGTTGCCTGAGAGAACCAACCCATTTCTCTGTGAGCGCTGGGCGCCGTCAGCTTGTCCTAAATGCACTTCCCTAGTCAAACCCAGAGTCAGCCAGGTGGCGTGTTTGTACTCCACGACTTGTGTGTTGTCTTCATGCTTCTAAGCAATTTCACGAATAACTAATTCCCACCTGGGGATCAGGAGATATATTATGGATCTGGGGCAAAAGAAAACACAGTCTGCTAGACAGCCAAGTTTTTACAGCCAGTTCATTGAGTTACTCAGAGTGCTGTATCCTTCTGAAGCCCCTCTAAACCAGGGCCTTGAGCCTGGCCTGTGCTGAGGACACCGAGGCCGGGACCCCTGAGGACCTCACCCCGCTTCCTCTGTCTCCTCAGATCATGGCAGTCGCCGGCCTAGATTCCAGTAAAGCCCAGAAGTACTCGCCAAGCCACTCGACCCGGTCGTGGGCCACCCCGCCGGCCACGCCGTCCTATCGGGACTGGACGCCGTGCTATACCCCGCTGATCCAGGTCGAGCGGCCGGAGGCCCCAGACCAGGTCAACGGCAGCCTGCCGTCTCTGCACCGCAGCTCGTGGTACACGGACGAGCCCAGCGTCTCCTATCGGACGTTCACACCAGCCAGCCTGACCGTCCCCAGCAGCTTTCACAACAAGAACAGCGACAAGCAGAGGAGCGCGGACAGCCTGGTGGAGGCAGTGAGTGTGGCCGCGAAGTCTGCCCGGGAGGGACGGTGGCACCGGGGAGCTGGTCCTGAGGGCAGGTGGGCTCCGGAGCCAGGATGCCTGCTTCTGAACCTGGACAACCATCCACTTCTTAGCAGCAAAGATGCTACTTAAAGCACAAGTGTAAAAACACCATGCCAGGCACCAGGGACTGGCATGCTGCAGTCCATGGGGTCACAAGAGTCAGACATGACTTAGCTACTAAACCACAGAAACACCACCCCTGCTGGGTTTCACCAGCTGGCTGCACCGAGGATTGTATGTTAGTCCCACAAATATGACTTGTTTATTCTGAAACATTTGTCCCCCATGGGTTTCACTCTTGTTGGGCCATGTGCAGTGTCTGAGCTTCTTTAGATTCCCATTTACCTCCAGGCTCAGTTACCCTGAGTGGGGTCTTGCTGACATAACTGGCTGGGTCCCAATAGCACATCATGCAGTCAGTGCCTGAGGTGGTCTTTCTGTCATTCTGCATCTATGCCACTGATACTTTTCTCTACACAGGTTCTGATATCCGAAGGCTTAGGACGGTATGCGAGGGACCCAAAGTTCGTGTCGGCAACAAAACACGAAATCGCCGATGCCTGTGACTTAACCATCGACGAGATGGAGAGTGCAGCCAGCAACCTGCTGAACGGGAATGTGCATCCCCGGGCCAACGGAGACGTGGGCCCCGTTTCACTCCGGCAAGACTACGAGCTCCAGGACTTCGGGCCTGGCTACAGCGACGAGGAGCCGGACCCCGGGAGGGACGAGGAGGACCTGGCAGATGAAATGATTTGCATCACCACCCTGTAGCCCCTCCCCGGGAGCCGGTGATGGGCTCTGGCCTCAAGGTGGGGCGCCGGAGGGCCAGGGGGAAAAGTGCCTCGTAGTTAGGAAAATTTAGGCACTAGCGTGGAGTCCCTATTCGCAGTTAGAATTTTGTAACAAGTGATGTCATGCCTCAAGGAAGCCATATTGCTGGCAGGGGACAGCCGTGCCCCAGCTTTGTGGGCGGCCCAGCCCTCCTGGAGAGGACCAGCAAGGCGGTTCAGATGAGCCCTACTGGCTTGTCTGCGGCGCTCACCTGCCGCCCGCAGGCACGGGGTGGGAAAGGTTTAAAGGTGATGACGATCACCATACCTGTGTCATTACCTCAGCCATCGGTCTAGCATATCAGACATTCACTGGGCCCAGCATATCCATTTTTAAACCCCCCCCCCCAAAAAAAACCACACTGCTTCCTGATTCCTGTTGAGCTGTTCTGAGATACACTGTGTACGTCAGGACCAGCCTACCAGCCGTCATCCTGGGAGGGGAAGCAGGACCCTGTAAGCAGGGTTTTCTGTGACGTGATGCCAGTTTACAGGCAGGAGAGCGTCGCTCCGACAGTCGGATTTCTGACTGTCAGGCTAAGGGCAACTGTAAACTGGAATAATACTGCACTCGCAACCAGGTAAACTTAGATACGCTAGTTTGTTTAAAAATTATAGATTTACTGTACATGACTTGTAATATACTATAATTTGTATTTGTAAAGAGATGGTCTATATTTTGTAATTATTGTACCGTATTTGAAATGCAGCAATATCCATGGGTCCTAATAACTGTAGTTCCCCACTGAAATCTAGAAACTATTAGTATTTTTACTTGGGCTATACAGAAGTATAATAGAAGAAACAGAGCCAATTCTCATTTATTCAGTGAAAAATCTTTTGGGGGTACAATCTTTAGTTCAGAAGAACTTGACACTACAGAGATTTTTCTAAAATATTTTGAGTCACTATAAATCTATCTTTACACAAGAGATTCCAGAGGACTATTTGCAGTCTTTTCTTTGGGCAGGGGTTCTCTGATTTGATATTGTAACTTTTGATCCACCATGGGTTGCAACCATCTTTTGTTTTCCTTTAATAACCCCTCCGACGAGTTCACGGCAGAGGAGGTCGAGCTGGCTACTCGGACCCTGTGGCTTTCATTCACAGTCATGGTTTTCTCAGCTGCCCCACAGGATATTCTGGCATTTCTGGTGCAGAAATAATGGCAGTGGTGAATGAAGTCTCTCTGCTGTTGTCCCCCCGGGACTGGTAAGGCGGCGTGTCTGAGGAAATAAAAGAGTGCTGGGGGCTGGGGGACTGAGGAGGCAAGGCGGCTCTTGCAGGACTAGATGTCGGGGTCTGTACAAATCCTATCGCTGCCTTTTTACAAAACATTGCTACTGTGTGTTCTCTTTGAGGGCTTTTATATGCAACTGAATGAGGGCTGAAGTTTTCACTAGAATGCACTCTCACTCCAATTGTACTTCTCGATGAAAACCCACTTTGGGATCATCAGACCCATCAAGGCTTCCTTTTCTGTTCACAGAATCATGCAGACTTTGTCGAGTTACCGTGGCAGGGATTCCCTGCGGTCAAAAAGACTAGTAGCAGTTTTTGGTTCAAAATTTTTAAAGAATACATGACCTGTTGTTAGTTTTTTGTTTTTTTTTTTGTAAATAACACTTTGTTATAAAGACCTTACAAACCTCTTCTTAAAGACATTCTTACTCCAGATCCAGGCAAAAACACTTCAAGGTTTGTAAATGACTATTTCCTGACATAAATTCTTTTTTATTAAAATGCAAAATGATCTTCAGAATAAAGCTGTGTAATAAGTTTATTGTATTTGGGAGCTCTCCTTGCACAGAGCTGGTGCTTGCCAGTGACAGCCTCCGGAGGACCAGGTACTCTGTGAGGGCACTGCTGTAATGATGTAGATTTTCTCTTGATCTCGTGACTCCTCTGGTGCCAGTAGTAACTTAATTCCAGTTGCAGACAGCACCATTCTCCTAAAGGGCTAACCCACAGTCACCATCGTTTTGGACTCCATCTCTCCACTGAGTATTGGTCTTACTGTGTGGCTTCCCATTGTTAGTCCAAAACTGTCCTACCAGGACCGAGTTTCCTGGCATAGTCAGTGATCTTTGCTAGTCAGCACTTAAATGGCATTTTTACAGACTGCACCACTCCTAATGTCCACCTGCATTACACCTGGTTCAACTGCTCGTCTGACATTAAATTTGTCTTTGTTAAGAAAAACTTCAAGTTGTAGAACATGGTTTCTTCTCTTTCAGGAAACTTTAAATGTCTCTCCTTTTTAGTTCCCCTCCTATCCCCTAAGAAAGTAGTCATCTTGGGGTTGACCCCAGGAATAGTACATAGTCTCTTTCATCATGTGTTTTCCATAATGTCACAAAACGGAAACGGCAAGCAGGAACCTCGTTAACTGTGGTCTCTGTAATTTCCATCCAGACAGCTGGGCCACATAGCACCTCCCAGCCTGACTCTGAAATATTTCAGAATCAACTGGTGGCGGGGACGGGCAGCTTGTGGAGGCCCTAGAAGCTTCTTGGTGCACAGAATGTGTTTAACATGTCTGATGGACCGCTTTATGTTGATGCCACGCTTCTGAGAGGAACCAGAGCCGTTTATTTTGTGCTGTTTATGCTTCACAGTCCTAAGTGTCTTTGCCCATTGCCTGTTTCCCTGCAAAGGTTTTTATTGTTAGGATGGTGGTCAGTTTGTTCTGAAAGCTGTTAGCTTCACACAGAGTTCCAAGCTCCTTTATTAGCCTCTCCTGACTCAGAAACGAGACTCCAGTTACGCCTTCATTTGTGGAAAAAGTTTTTATTTCTCTAAAATGATATTCCTTCTTTACTGGGGGTCCGAGAGAGAGGTGGGCCCGAGGCCCTTGCTTCCGAGCAGAGAACAGGAGTGCGCGTGGCCCTGAGGGCGCCCTGTGGGGATGGAGGCAGGAGAGACCATGGGAGGCTGCCTGGGTCTCAAGACAGGACCAGCAGAGAAAGGTGCCTAGGTATTTGACCTGATGATAAGTTGTTCAGCGGAAATATGACATGCCCTTTGGGTGGAGGAACATGGTTTGACTAAGGAGACTATTTGAATTTATGGAGAAGACTCCTGCAGCCTGCACAAGGGCTGTGTTTCCAGGCGCCAGAGTCCCACTTCTGCGACCCGCCCTTTCCTGGTCACCTGCAGGCCGCTGCTCTAGCTGTGTGTCTGGCTCTGACTCCACCAGGAGGAATCCTTGGCTTCTTCAGTGGGGTCTGTGTTCCGCCACCTGCCCATCGGCACATACACCGCTTCCCTTAGGCTTTGTCAACCGTTCTGGGAAATGTACGTTCTCCTGTTCGGGGGGCAGGGCAGGCTTTCTGTTTAAGGGGCTTAACAGGTGTCTTCGCAGTTCCTCTAGAGGCCGAGTGCTGGCCGGTCTGCATGCCCTTCGGGCCTGCCTGACTGGCTCACCCTCCCCGATTCCGGTCAGCACTTCCCTCCCCTCTCTGGCCTCCTCTGACAACAGCCCCCTTTCCTTCTGCAGGCGACGGTTCCTTCGTGGCACTGGACCCTTCAGACAGGTGGTGGTTAGGATACGGGCCACTGCTCCACTCTGCCTGGCCAGCCAGCACTTAGGGCTCGAGGGGGGAACTGCCTCAGATAGAATATTCTGAGGTCTGGACCCCAGCGCAGTTTCCTGTTGGGTAAATGACACTCACGCTTTTCTCCTTTGAAACGTACCTGTGTGCGGCAGTATTGTGTGATGGTATGCCATGAGCGGGAGAGGGGCCTTGGTGCCCGAGTACGGGCCCCGCTGACACACGCGGTTTTGCTCACCTATACATGCACACTAGCCTATCAGCTGCTGTCTCACAGGCCGAAGGCATCAGAGAATGCAGGTCTGAATGCCACGTCACCTGCCATGCCCACCCCAGAGGAGGTCAGTTCAGTCACAGGCCAGGAGGTGTCACTTCATGGCCCTCAGAGTGGGGGATCGGCACCCACCGTCCTGCTGTCCTTCACCCCTGCCGGTGGCTCCCAGACCCAGAGGAGGCCTGTGGGCAGGCGGGGCCTCTCTAGGAGACAGACGTCTCTTGACAGACAGAATTTTCTCTCTTGACCCTCCGCTGGAACAGAAAATAAAGACACAGGTAAGATCAATTAAGATTTTACTCGAACATTTTTATAGGCAGGCCGGTGAGATGGCTTTCTTCTTTCCACCTTTGTAGAAATCTTTCTCAACTGTGGGGCCTCCAAGGCACTTCAATCCCTTGTGATCTACGGTGAAGCCTGGAATGTTCCTTCTTCCTTCCCTCTGATTCTGGGTCCAGCCAGGCAGGTTTCCAAACGGGAGTACCCTTCCTTCCTGCCAGGCAGGGTCTTCTGGATATAGTCAGAAAAATCAATCCAAAACGTATCCACATGTTCATCACCTTGTAACAACAGTCTGGATAATGCATCTCAGTTCAAAAGTAAGTTATGGGGTTGCCTTATTGAATTAGAAGAAGTTTAAAGATCAGAGATCTGTTTTAAAAGTTACTTTGTCTTCCGCCCAAGCTCCAATCTTCACCAATTCATTTGTCTTTAAATCAATTGTGTTTCCCTCCCCTGCCCCAGGATGAGGATCATAGCTCTATTTGACTACTTTATCCGTCAGCCTGGCTCCTGCCTGGTCTGTTGCTGGGGACATCTGGAGAATGAGAATTAGCCAGCCGTGGCCACTGCTCAGTCCCTGTCTCCCCAGGCTTTGTGCAGAGCAGGCTGGGGTACAGGTCTGCTCTGGGTTTCTAGGTTTCCTGGCAACAGGAAGATCTTTAAAAATGCTAAATCCTAAAACCCAAGGTAGTAAAGAGGCCCTGCAGACTCCTGAGTCCTGAAGCAAGGTCCAGAATTCTGGCCTCATTCTGATGGTGTTAGTAAGAACCAGAGCGTCGTAGAGGTGGGCTACAAGCCCCTTGGAGGGACCCAGCTGAACACCAGTTCCTGTCTCCCTCTGGGGGTGAAGTCAGGAAGCAGCAGAGAAAGCAGCAGCCTGTTTCTTCCAGAGGTAGCTTTCCCTCTGCCCAGGCATGTTGGAGGCTTGTCACACAGCCCAGCTGAGCTCCACGCTCCCTCACTCCAGGCCCCCAGTGCAGCTTTCAGCCAGACGGGGAGGATGCCCCGGGCTCTGTGCAAGCTCCCTGCTCCTGGACCAGCTTGCCTCCAGATAGAGCCTGGGAAGGCCCCACCCGGACCCTGGAAGGCGGCAGGACCCTGGGCCGGAGAGCACTGCGGGGCACAAGCCAAGGGCCTGGCAGGAGTTGCCCGTTCTCCTCCAGCCTCCCTTCCCCTTTGCTGTCCCGCCAGGAGGCAGGGAGAAGGGGACCAGAAGGCCTGTGAGGACATGCTGGTAAGAAAGAAGCCAGTTCACTGAGCAGTACTGGTCTCATTTCTTAAGATTATCCAAGTCTCGGCCACTGGACTATAACATTCTAGACAGGTTCAGGGAAGCCCATGTGGAGCAAGGGCTGTGCTGAGCCTTCGCGGGCAGGGCCGACCTCAGCGCTGGGTGGCCAGGGTCCTGGGCTTATAGACCGGGACATCCTCGTCCCAGAGTGCCGGCCGCCCCTGGATCATGTCGGCTGCCTTCTCTGCGATCATGATGGTGGGGGCGTTCAGGTTGCCACTGACCACGCTGGGCATGATGGAGGCGTCGACCACCCTGAGGTTTTCCACCCCGAGCACCCTGGTCTGTGGGTCCACCACCGCCGTGGGGTCGGAGGGCTGGCCCATCTTGCAGGTGCACGAGGGGTGGTAGGCACTGTCTGCCTTCGCCCGCACGAAGGCGTCTATTTCTGCATCCGACTGGACATGGCTTCCCGGCTGGAGCTCCTTTCCCCGGAATGGTGCCAGGGCTTTCTGTGCAAAAATCTCTCGGGTCAGCCTCACACAGAGACGGAAGTCTTTAATGTCGGTTTCTGTTGAGGAGAAGAAACAGGTGAGATACTTCCTCTTACCATGCTGGCCCTGCTGGAAGACTCTCCACTTGGAGAGACTCAAGAAGCTGCCCAAGGGGACACAGTTCAAGGACGTGGAGGTCCAAGCCACCAGGCTACCTGTCACCTACCCAGCAGCAGCAACAGCATAACCTAGCAGAGTCCATGGAGCCCAGACAGCCTCCTAGATGGACACAGCCTGGCTGAGGACCTTCATTTCAATCAGGGATTTGAATTTCTCATCTGCAAAATGGAGATGAAGACTGCACGCCCTGCCTCTGCCACAGCATGGCTGTGAGTGCCCTGTGAGTATCCTTGGGCAAAACCTGCCAGGTAGGGGGGGGCATTTTGGCTGTGCAGAGAGAGACAGGTCCATGCTTTTAGAAGATGCTCCCAGGAACAGTAGGAAAAATGCTCTGTGAGCTATCTGTACACAGCCAGAGCTCCGTGTATCTCTTGGTAGACTGTTCTGAAAGCTGCAAGTCTGTGTCGAGTGCTGTCCTGGAGCCGCTTCCGGTGACCCAGGGCGCAGCAGTGCCACAAGTGCAGCTTTACAGCCCAGGATAAGGGGGTGGATGGAGGACAGAATGTGACCGTGGCTCAAAAAGTAGGCTCCAGGGGTAAGATTCCAGGGCAAATATGAACCCCACAAAGGCATTCATTCATTCAGTCTATCAGTGACCCAACAAGCTCAGGTCTGGGTGAAGCAAAAGTGGCTGGGGAATTACCTGTTGACAGGTAGTTGGGCTGGATCACAGGGTGGTCGTGGGGGTTGGCACTTCTCAGTTTGAGCCAGCCCACGCTTGTGCCCCGCATGGTCCCCACATGCACCTGGAAGAGCCCAGAGGAAGCGGTCAACCCCCAAGGTAGTCATTTAGAGATGCCCTGGTTTCCTGTGAGGTGGGACTAGACATCCAAAGTCAATTAAGAGCAGATGCATTTTGGCATCTACCTGCATCTTAACCTCTCCCCTGCCCCCCGCCCCTCAACAAGGCATCAAGCCACCTCAGTCGATCACTCCTGCTTCCTGGCTTTATACCTGATTGTTGGAAATGTTCAGGGCTGGCATTCCCTGGGCAGAGCTGGCCTCTCTGTCCATTTCTAGTACTCAGCACCCAGAGCCAGAGGCCCTAGCTTTGCTGTGCCCCATGCAGCCTGTCTCACTCTACCTCTGACCCCCACCCCCAGATGCTGAGCAGCTGGAGGCCCCCCACCCCGAAGGCCCTGCTGTGATGGGGAGACCGCCTGCCCACCTGGTAAGCCTCCTGCTGTGGGGGGACCCGCCCGTGGTCGATCACCTGGGACGGCAGGAAGTGGAACTGGATGTCCGGATGGGGGACCCCAGGCTGGCTCCGGATGAACCCCCCAGTTTCCAGATGGGCCGTGGCTCCATACCCTGAGGATCAGAAGACAACGATGAGGCAGAAGAGCAGTCCCGGCACGGCAGGTGGGCCAGACTCCCCTCCCGCGGGCAGTCCCCCTTCCTCTTCCGGCCCATGTTCCAGTACCTGGCCCCGCGTCCTCAGCCTTCCTCTTTCCCCGAGTGGGCCCACCCAGCACTATGGATCAGCTCCATGCCGAGGGGCTTCAGCTTTGCCCCCCTGCCGACCCCACCACTGCCAACGAGACTGTGGGACTTGATGTCACACGGGCGTCCCAAACCTACCCCAGCCCCCACCCACAACTACACTACACTACTCTCACTGCAAGTCAAAAGTCAGAAAATCCTCTTCCCCATCACCCCCCACCACATCTGTCAGAGAGTCTCCATCTTCGGCTCCAAAATCAACTTCAGTCCACCTTCTCGGCACTATCCCCACACCCCAACCTCCATCCAAGCCCACATCACCTAAGTGGTGATGGCTGATGCCCAGCCTACCTCTGTGCCTCCTGCAGCCCACCCATCACACACAGACCAGGATCAAGGTCAAGTCCCTCCTCCATCCAATCTCCACTGTTGCAGGAAGGGCCCCTTCCAAGGCCCAATAGTAGGCTCTTATCTAACTCTTGGAAGTGAATCGTCAGGGGAGACACACATACTGACAGAGCAGAAGACTGTATTGGGAAAGACCACACCTCCCAACCCCGGCTGGAGAGCAGCGGGGTAAGGGGACCCAGGAGAACTGCTCTGCCACGTGGCTTGCAGTCCCAGGTTTTCTGGTCATAGGGTTAGTTTTGGGGTTGTCTCTGGCCAATCACTTTGCTTGGCGCATAGTCTGACTCTGGGTCCTTCCTGGTGGCGTCTGCATCTCTCAGCCAAGATGGATTCCAGAGTGAAGGATTCTGGGAGGTTGGTCTTCTCCTCCTTCTTAGGTCCCCCCTCCTGAATCCTTCTGGTTATTTTTCAGTGGCAACACCATGTTCCTTTTGAGACCTCCTGTTGTGAGACAACTGAGGCAAGTGGTCATCATGTGCCTGGCCAAGGCAGGTGGTTTCGGTCTCAGGCCCTAGAAGGGGTCCTTCTTCCTGCAACAATTGACTGGTAGGATCTCTTCTTTGCTATGACTGACTGACATCCGGACCCTCAGGGATCAGCTTGCCTGCTGATGGACCAAACCCAGCAGCCAGCACTGGGACCCTATAAATGTCCCTGGTCTCCTCCTGATGTGGACAACTGGCCAGAGCTTCCTGACCAGGTAAGGAACGAGAGACTTCACTGGCCTGTTTTCCCTTCCCTCTCTCTTTCCTCCTATCCTATTCTTCTGGTCCTGGATGCAGGAGTCTAGTGGAAGAGCCTCAGTTATCTGAGGGCTGGAGCATGATCACCTTCTGTGGTCAGGGACCTTGAGTTATCTGGTATCTGGTGGGGCTGAATTCCCGTCCTCCCTTTCTGTAAGCCCAGGGGGAAAGTCCTGTCACATCTGGGTGTCTGCAGGTGGCATGAGACGTCTAAGGCCACCCCTTAGTTTCTGTTGGTCAGAACTCAAATTGGAAGTTCTGCATCTCTGTAGGAGGTTTTCTGAGAACCTTCAATCTTGTATTTAAGGGAGTGTCTGATTAGGACAGCCAGGCCTATATGTGTTTTATATTTTACATTCTGTGTTGTGATCTGTGATGGCCATTCTGCCTTCTGAAATAGGAAATTCTGATTCTGTTCCATTGCAAGGCCCCCTTGGGAGAATTTGTCTTGACTGAAAAGGTTTTAGCTATAAGCCTGTGATTAAGAGAAGGATATTTTATTATAACACTGTGTGGCCAGAATATTCTTTAGATTCCAGAGAAAACCTATTTAGGTGAAACTCTTGGAAATTCCAAAACTGGTTCTTTTTGCATATACAGTTAGAAAAGGCAAGCGTGATACAATATCTTTTAGAATTCTGACCCTGAGATAACAATTCCTTCTAGGAGAACTTGGTTTTCTCACCATGTACCTTAACAGATGCTGAAGGCCTTGGTCCTTAGATGCGGGTGGGTGGGGAACCTTTTAAACTATACTTACTCCAACTATTATTCATAAATTAGTGAGTTTTAGAATACCCAATTCATGATTAAGTTTAGAAAATGAACCTGTGAGATCTCTGATTGTGTGTATATATATATATATCTCCTTATGTTTGGATGGTATTATCAAAATTAATTCATCAATGAGCTCTACTTGTCTTAAGAAAATTAAGCACTTATATAAATTTTCAAAACTACAGAAAGGAATTGGCAAGAATTAATTTCAGGTTCATGTGAACTGGGGACTAGTATTAAATTAATATCTGATTTTAAACTTTGTTAATTTAAACAGATATGACTTTAGAGTCATCAAGTTATATGACTTGTATTAAACCAAGGTATGGAGAAGGAAATGGCAACCCACTCCAGTGTTCTTGCCTAGAGAATCCCAGGGACAGAGGAGCCTGGTGAGCTGCCGTCTGGGGTCGCACAGAGTCAAACACTACTGAAGAAACTTAGCAGCAGCAGCAGCAAACCAAGGTATTGTAAGATCTTATTATATCTAGTACAAATTTGTCAGCAAGGAAAGTCACATGGCATGATGAAATTTTATAAGTGAGTTAAATGCAAGATAAGAGCTTTTGGATGACTGTCTTAGAAATAATTATATTGTAGGAATGTCTACTTAAGGATAATCTTTCTAGATATTTGAAAATTTGCTTGAAATTTAGAGCTGTTCTAAATTAAGTGATGGACATTTATTGAAGAGTTAAGTCATCCCCAAATAAGACACTGAAACATCCATTATTAACCTTAATAAACAGAGAAGGTATTTGGGGTGATTAATGAATATGTTTGGTGTCATCCTGACATGTTCTCTGCAAGAAAGCAAATGTTTTTAGGAATTATCACTAGCATTTATGTTCACTGATCTACAGAATCCTAATGTAAAAGATAATTCATAATTGCTTGCCTCTTAGTTTTCACTAGAAATTAAGGTTTTTAAAGAGTTCAGCACTCTAAATGTGTAATTAAAGCTAATAGAAATAATAAAAGTGGCATTTCAGTATACAGTAGGAAAAGAGAATGTGTATTGTCAGTGAAGAAGGTATGAAGAATGGAAATGCATTTTATTAAAAGAAAAGAGACTCTGACAGCTGGTTGTTTCTCAATGAAGAAGAAAATGGAGGACAAACTAATATGGATACAGAAAGTAATAGAGGGTTTGTGGATCATCAGGATTGGCTAGGTTTAAAGTAAAGTTAATTTTATTGTTAAAAGTAGGTTGGTACAGACTGGTTTTCTCTCTTAAAAGGGCAAAGTTTCCTTGGAATGCTGCTTTTGATAACAGATTGTGTGAGTTTTTGTGCTTTTGCATGCTAAGTTGCTTCAGTCATGTCCGACTCTCTGTGACTCCATGCACTGTAGCCTACCAGGCTCCTCTGTCCATGGGATGCTCCAGGAAAGAATACTGGAGTGGGTTGCCATTTCCTCCTCCAAGGGCATCTTTCCAGGGATCACACCTGTATCTCATACGGGTCCTGCATTGGCAGGTGAGTTCTTTACCACTAGCACCACCTGGTAAGGGATCTGTATTTGCTTTCTTCCCCCTTGTATTTACTTTTAAATTTTTAATCGGAGGATAANATATGTGATAAAATGAGGGTAATTTTAGAAAGAGACTTCTGTGGATATCAAATTCTAATTTATTTATTGAGGGTATGTGTTCACTAAGACTCACTTCCAGATAGTTCCTTGCTGTTATGTTAATTGTTGCAAATTTAATTGAATTATTACAATGTTTCCTTTTAAGTTTTTTTCTGAAGCTTAATTTTTAGTAATCTGTTTTTGGATGAACATTGGACACTCCGTGATCTGCAACAGGAAGTTAACACCAGGTACGGTCATTTAAACTTAAAGGCTCCCTTATGTTGGGGGCTGTGACACCATACTAGGGTTGACCAACCTAGTAACTCTAGGAAACTGGGCTGGGTGCCCTGTGGACAATGCCGATATATAATTTCCCTAAAAGGTAAGGGCTGGTATACAACAGACAGACAAAGTCAGATGAACTGAGACAGGCTGGGCTGCACCTAATGGAAATTCTTAAATTTTTACTTACGACCTTACTAACACTGCTAGCTATGTTGTTTATGTTGCCTGTTTTACAAAATTGTTTTCCTACACTACCAAATGTGTGACTGAGCCTCTGATAAGGTGATGACATGTAGTTCCATATGAGACCAGTGATGGTAATACTGTAACTCCAGATATGGGAAGAAGTATATTAGCATCATCCCTCCTAGCTTTAATCTAACTCGAGAGTATTTTACCACAAATCACCTCCCTCATTCAACTAAAATTTTCTACACTAGTATCAAAAAGACCTAACAAAACTATATTTTCTCTCATTCCTCACTAACCTCACCATAGCATATCTGTATTTAATCACCACTATAATAAATACACCACCAATAAGCAATAGCCAACCAGTAACAATTACTAATCAAGAATCATAGCTATACAACTCTGCGATTCCCATAGCCTCCTCACAGCAACTCCAGTCACCTCTATCATAAATCACTCAATCTAGTCTGTTAAACTTAAATATAATCTCTACTTTCTCACTTTTTAAAACATAAAATGCCACTGAAAACTCTATCATCAACCCTGAAAGAAATATACCTAAAACAGTCCCTAATATTAGAGACTCAAACTGCAGGATACTGCTCAGTAGCTGTCATATAACCAAACACAACCAACATCCCCCCTAAATAAATAAAAAAATACTGTAAAATCTGAAAATGAGCCACAAAAATTCAACACAATCCCACAACCACCACCCACAATCATCCCAAGTCCACCATAAATAGGTCAAGGTTTTGAAGAAAACCCCACAAAACAAATTACAAAAATAGAACTTAAAAAATACAATATATGTTAACATTATTCTCACATGGACTCTAACCATGGCCAATGACAAGAAAAATCATCATTGTTATTCAACTATAAGAA